ATTGAATATCATTCAACTCATTCATCTCCAGAATTGTGGATGAACAAGTTGAACATTTTTCCTTTGTAAATTGTTCAATTTTTCAATTTTTTAGGTTGAATGGGCTGAATAAATTTTTTAACTTTTTCAACTCAAATGGTGAAAATTGGCTGAATATTATTTTTCAACTTCTTCAACCTCTTAAATTGTGCAACCATTTGCAGTGAAAACCAATAATAATCGATTATTTTTATATAATCCAATAACAACATTTACATTTATCTTATTTCCATATATTGTTTTCTTTTCCTTTTTTAAAAAAAATCTCCTAAATATTTATTTGTAATTTATACTATATTCTCTAGTTTTTTTTTTCTGAATAATCAAAGAGGTTCTGGGCCGAAGCTCATACATTCTCTCATGCCCGAAACCAGAGCATGTTATATAGTTTAGTCCCAAGCGCTACTCAAACCAGCGACCTCTGAGCTTTTGCCATAGATCTTTATCAGTTGAGCTATTAGCACTTGGTTATATTCTCTAGTTGATTATGAGACTTTTTTTTTTATTTAGGATTTAACTAACAAATCTTTGGCATCCCCTATATAGTAAAAGAGAAGTACACTTTCTCTTAAAAAAAAAAAATAAATGTAAAATTTCCAAAAACCTTCAAATAGGAATACCTTTTGTTCTTTCATTAAGGGTACAAAAGAGAAAAGACATGAATCGGGTCGGCTAAAATTAAGAATGTAAAACCCGTAAATATTAATTGGATAGTAGCCACAAAGACATCTTTAATAATGAACAAGTCTGTTGGGCTACGATGAAAATGGCCTTCGATTCAAAATCATTAGCCACTATATGGTGAGAAACATGCTCATGGGCTATGATATGAAATGGGCTTCGAATACCAAAAATTATTGACATATCCATTTGAACATAATTGGGTTTTATAACAGTTTATTTATTTATTTGTTTTTTAAGAACAACTTGCAAGTAAAGCAACGTAAAGCAACGATGACTCTATTGGAAATATCCATATTTTGAAAGAATAAACTTTTCGATAGACCATACCAAATGACCTAAAAATTTAGTGACTTTAAAAAAAAAACAATTTCTTGATCTTAAGAAAAAACATATCTCTATCTCTATATTAGTAAAGAAAAATACTTGGGTTCACCCAAAAGGGTGAACCATTCTTCTTCACCCCTTTTTAATTAGCCAATCAAAATACAACTATATGTCACATCATTTTTATTTAAAAAGTAAATCAAAATACAAAAAAAAATAATAAAGCAAATTAAGGAAACAAATTCTGTAGAATTTTTATCAAGAAAATATATTAAAAACAATTATTATTCCTCATTCACTTTTATTTGATCTTATTTTTAATTTATTATATTATACTATATAATATAAATATTTAATAAAATTTAACTTTTTTTACATATGTTGCAATTTGAATTTTTCAAAATGGACATATAATATTCAACAGATTCTTATAAATAGGACTAACATACGTATATTTATATGATTTAAAAATACACGGGTTGGTTTGCAAAACTCACATCATACGGTATAGCGGGTTAGGATTGATATTTTTACTAATGCAATCTTTTAGGGGTTGGTCCTTCAAAATATACACTGTGAACTATATTTTTTTGTATTACAAAGGCTTATTGGTTTTATGAAAGCAATATTTCACATGTTAATCCTTTTAAAGTATCTTGTGAGTTTTTATATTTTACAAATGTATATTTTTCTACGAATATAATCTTTCACGGGTTGGTCCTTCAAAATATTCACATAAATGTGAATGTATATTATTTTTATGAATGAAATCTTTTATAGATTGGTCTGTTAAAACATACACTATATATGTGCAGATTTTATAAATTTAATCATTTATAATATTTTATATATATTTTTATTTTTATTACAAATTATATAACATTTCGATAGAATATTCCTCCGCGCTGTAGCGCGGGTCCGATTCTAGTGTATAGAGAGAAAACGCAACTTTGAAACCATGCACTCACAAATGATGCCATGCACACATACTCAATTGTATCAAAGTAGACAATAAAGCATCATAAGATTGATCTTTTTGAAATTCGGAAATTGGTAGCATTGACGTTCATAGATTTATGACTGGTTTAGTAATAACAATCTTTTTAATTATAACTAAAACATTGAATTAGTGATCTACCAAAAAAACACAAATACATACATTCATAAGACAAAACAAAAAAACATGTATACACAATGCATATAGCACTTTGAAGGGTATTTTTTTTAGCTATGGACAGTATTGACTTTGATCACTAACCTTATTTAGGTTTACTTCCTATTCTGTTGTATCTAAATTTTTATAGCAATTCTTGCGTAACTAAAAGGAGCTTATGTGATTGTTATTTTCCCGCTACACGATCACATCAAATTATCCCTAACATGCAAAACGTAAAAGCCAATTACAAAATTATATTAAACATAGAAAACTAAAAACATATGACTAAATATGAACGAAAAAATTCTACAACAACATATTAAATATAGAAACCACATCCCTATATCCAACTTCCATATTAATAGAGAAGTACAAGATAGAATATGGGTCGGGTCAAAATTAAAAAATGAACCCGATTTTAACAATTGGATACTTCGAAGTTGGATATTAATTTGGGTTTGGATACATACATCGGATACTTTCCATATCTAATTTTAAGATTATATTATTTTCATAACTAATTTTATGATTTCCTAATATTTCTCTAACTAATCAATTATTATTCTTCTTTAAATTTTATTTGATAGTATTTTTAATTTATGATATTATGCTATATTATAAAAATATTTAATAAAAATTAATATTTGTTTTGCATATGTTGCAATTTGAATTTTCCAAAACGGACATATAATACTCAACTACACTAGGTTACATATTTTGGACAATGATTTAAAATCAGTATAAGTATGATCAATATTAAAACAATTGTTACATGAGCATATTTAAAAGTTTAAAATGTTTCAAAATATTATAATTAAAAGATTCAAATATAAAAAAAAAATTAGAATTGAAATTATTAAAATATTTTATTGAAGATATAGATGTAATTTTGGAGACATAATTTTTATTGATAAAATATATTATATATCAAACTATGTAAATTTTAGATAGTTTGTGGATAGTTTGTTAAAATCATAATTATAATGGTAAAACAAGTTATGAATAATGTTTTTTACAAAATGAATTTTGTTACGGGTTAGTCCTTCAAAAAATATATTGTAATGTAATTTTTACATATATTTCTACTTCTACTACAAAATGGTCAAATTGAATAATTTGTCGATACATATTATTTCGTGCCGTTCATTTTTTACTGTTTTTTAGTTGTATCAAAACTCAATGTATTATTATTTACTCGCTTTTTTTGTTTTATTATTTTATTTAAACTTATTATACAAAAATATGATTCACCGTAATCGACTGCATTGCAATAAAATTAAAATGTAATATATTGTAATCCGTTAAAGGTTATATATATGTAATTATTTCCTCCGCACTTTTAGGGGAGCATTTTTTATAGGTGTAGCCAAACAGATTAAATAGAAAAAAATTAAATAAAATGTAATCCTATATCTATAGCCAAACAAAATTAATGACAGGTTTTCAAATGAAAAATATGCTTTAAAAGGGACAATTCTAAAAATACCCCTTTTGAGTATTCCCTTTTTAAAAATACCCCTATAAGGGGAGCATTTTTAAAACTACCCATGTTTTAATGCCAAAAAGACGATTCTGCCCTCGTTTATGTTAAACCTAAAAAATCTTTCGTTCACAATTCTCTCTCTCGAAATCGATCTCTCTCTTCACAGGCAACGGGTGGACTCCGGCGAGAATCTTGCCTCTCCTCTCTATCTCAACTCCGATTCCATCTCCTCTCTATCTCAACTCCGCCTCAGACTCCTCTCTCTCTCTCGATTCCGGTGATAATCATCTGTTTCTCGACTCCAAGCTCAGACTCCTCATCGGCGTCGCTGGTTGAGGACTCCTCATCGGCGTCGCTGGTTGAGGACTCCTCATCGGCGTCCCTGGTTGAGGACTCCTCGTCGTCATCTGTTTTCATACAAATTCGCCTTCGACGTGTCTTCTCTCTCTTGGCCGTGTAAGTGCCCTATGTTATCTCATACTTGTTACTTGTTTAGGGTTTGACAATTTAGGGTTCTTGTTTAGATGTTGGAGATCGATTGAGATTAATTGTTACTAAAGTTGGGTTTTTGTTTGATTCATATGGTTCGTTTAGAATTTTTTACTCTATATTGACTACAATTGTTCAGGGATGGCTTTAATCACGCTATTGAATTTGAGCTTAGATTTTGAAATGCTAGTTTTTGGTACTTTAGTTGCTGTTGGGAAACCTGATATTTTGGTGATTTGCAACTTGGTGAATGTTATAGAAGATCTTTGAAATGTAAGAAACTTTAATACTTTATTGTGTTAGTACATTGGTATGTTGCTGTTTCTTTGTATTCTGCCCCATTTATCCTAGTAAATTGTGAAGTTTGTGGTTAAAGATATCTATGTTTGCAAAGATGCTGAGGGAATAGAAATTGTTAAATGTTTATGAAAACCTTATAAAAACCTTATAGAAAATGAAAATCATAAAAACTTTGTAAAAAATGGTTTATGCATCAAAAGATGTAGTCTCATAAGCATTTTAAAAGGTTTTTAAACATTTGGGTTAGATATTTTGGTTTTAGATGTTAATAAACAGATGGAAAGTAGTGAACCAGTTGATTATCTTCTATTACCTAACGGTATATATGAAGATGGAAGTGAACCATTCTCTCAAGCATCAATAATACATCATACGGATTTTAAACTAATTTGGAAAGTTAAAGCTGTTTTGAGTGATGAGTCATTCAAGCAGCTTGAGGATTCTTTCCTCGGACACATCATCAAGATTGCCTCAAAAAGCTTCAAATTCTCGGGCAAACTATTTCACTACATTATGATGAGGAGGCTGAAGACTAAAGGAAACAACTTGTAGTTCAGAATCGCTTCACAACCAACACGTTTCTCAATGAGAGAAATTTTTCTGTCAACAGGTATTTCATATATATTTTACGTCTTTGTTTGATTTCTGTCAGTTATAAAAAGTTTTTATAAAGCTTTTATAAGGTTTTTATAAGGTATATACATATCATTTGAATGTGAAATAAACGAATTCTTTGAAAACTTGTTTATAAGGTTTTTATAAGGTTTTATAAGGTTTTATAAGGTTCTTATAAGGTTTCTATAAGATTTTTATAAGGTTTTTATAAGGTATGTATTAGACAACAACAAACAGAAATTGTGCTTTCTGCTTTTGGGCCTCGTAAGCCTGTTAAAAACATAGGCCTTAACAAGCTCATTATGAGCTTGAGGACAAAGAGCATCAAATTTGTTATGCAGCTTGATTTGTTGTGTTGTCCTATGTTTTTAACAGGCTTACGAGGCCCAAAAGCAGAAAGCACAATTTCTCTCAGCATGGCAAACAAGCTTCACAAGAGAAGAACCTTCTACAACTTGTTCTGCTTCAGAAGAACCAACAGTTCATGAGTTTTCTGATCATGTTGGAGTTGTAAGTCCTGAGTGTACGGCAGACCTTGATTCTGTTCCTATTGGCAACAGCTTACCTTCTCCACCATTGATGCAAGCTCATGAAAATGTAACAAACGATCTTCCTGCAACAGAATCTGCTTCTCCTACAACCTCACAACAAACAACAGAAATTGCTTCTTCAAGCCACAATACAACATCTGCTTCTGATCAACCATCTCATTCAATGATTACACGATCTAAAGTTGGTATTATGAAACCTAATCCCAAATATGCTCTCTTCACAGTCAAAAGCAATTATCCAGAACCAAAAACAGTTAAGTCTGCACTTGAGGATCAAGGCTGGACATATGCAATGGAAGAGGAATTTGAATCTTTTCATGAAACAAAAACGTTTGATTTGGTTCCTCCTGATGTTTGTCCAACACCGTTAGGCTGCAGATGGGTTTTTAAAACAAAGCTGAAGGCAGATGGTTCTCTTGATAGGTTAAAAGCGAGATTAGTAGCTAAAGGCTATGAACAAGAAGAAGGTGTTGATTATGTTGAAACATATAGTCCAGTAGTTCGTACTGCAACAGTGAGGTCTATTCTACATGTTGCTACAACTCACAAATGGGAAATCAAGCAGTTAGATGTTAAAAATGCTTTCTTGCATGGCGATTTGAAAGAGATAGTATACATGCATCAACCCCCTGGTTTTGAAGACAAATCTCGACCAGACTACATTTGTAAGTTATACAAAGCTATTTATGGACTTAAGCAGGCTCCAAGGGCATGGTTTGACAAGTTCAGCACATTCCTCATTGATTTTGGCTTCACTTGCACCTATTCAGACCCTTCTTTGTTTGTGTATAAGAAAAGTAAAGACTTGATGTTTCTTCTTCTCTACGTTGATGACATGCTTTTGACAGGTAACAACAGTGATCTTATCAATAAACTCCTTGAAAACCTTAAGACAGAGTTCAGAATGAAAGATCTAGGTGGTTTGCATTACTTTTTGGGAATTCAAGCTCATTATCACTCTGAAGGGCTCTTTCTTCATCAAGAAAAGTATTCCATGGATCTTCTTGTTACAGCAGGGATGGCAGACTGTGCGCCAATGCCAACTCCTCTACCTCTGCAACTGGACAAAGTTCATGGAAAAGATGTAGCGTTTCCAGACCCCACATACTTCCGCAGTCTTGCCGGAAAATTACAGTATCTTACCTTGACAAGACCGGACATCCAATTTGCAGTAAATCTTGTCTGTCAGAAGATGCACTCTCCAACAATGGCAGACTTCTATCTTTTAAAAAGAGTTTTACGCTATCTCAAAGGAACAGTGAGTATGGGGCTTAATATTCTTTCTAATACTGATACTACCTTGCGTGGGTACAGTGACAGTGATTGGGCAAATTGCAAAGAAACTAGAAGATCTGTAGGAGGTTTCTGCACTTATCTCGGAACGAACATCATCAGTTGGTCAGCAAAACGTCATCCAACAGTTTCTAGATCCTCCACTGAAGCAGAGTACAGAACACTATCAATAACAGCTTCAGAGATGAAATGGATTTCTTCTCTGCTTGGAGAAGTAGGTGTATCTCAGTCTGCTACACCTGAACTATATTGTGATAATCTCTCGGCAGTTTATCTCACTGCAAATCCTGCAATGCACAATCGGACTAAGTCGTTTGATGTGGATTTTCACTTTGTCAGAGAAAGAGTTGCTTTAGGAGCTTTAATCGTCAAGCATGTCCCAGCTAAACATCAGCTTGCTGACATCTTTACTAAGTCCCTACCTCAGCAGCCATTCTTTGATCTTCGGTACAAACTCGGAGTTGTTCTTCCTCCCAATCCAAGTTTGAGGGGGTGTATTAGACAACAACAAACAGAAATTGTGCTTTCTGCTTTTGGGCCTCGTAAGCCTGTTACAAACATAGGCCTTAACAAGCTCATTATCAGCAAGCTTTCTTCTCCCTGCAACCATAATAAAGAGCATCAGTCAAACCGTACAGCCTTACCATCTCAGCAGAGTACGAGAGGGACAACACAACAAATCAAGCTGCATAACAAATTTGATGCTCTTTGTCCTCTAGCTATTTCGTGTGTGTAATGGCGTGTAAACCTAGGTTCCTTCTTTAAGGTTGTCCTATATAACACCACCTCTGTTATTGTAAAAAGATTAAGCTGAAAGAATCAATAAAAGGTTTTTCTCTTCACACCTTGTCTTCTACTTTCAGTATGTACATATCATTTGAATGTGAAATAAACAAATTCTTTGAAAACTTGTTTATAAGGTTTTTATAAGGTTTTTATAAGGTTTTATAAGTTTCTTATAAGGTTTCTATAAGATTTTTATAAGGTTTTTATAATGTATGTACATATCATTTGAATGTGAAATAAACAAATTATTTGAAAACTTGTTTATAAGGTTTTTATAAGGTTTTTATAAGGTTTTTATAAGGTTTTATAAGGTTCTTATAAGGTTTCTATAAGGTTTTTATAAGGTTTTTATAAGGTATGTACATATCATTTGAATGTGAAATAAACGAAATTTATGAGTAGATCTAACCTCATTGTTTAATATATCACAGGTATTCATTGTGAAAAGCTTGATACAGATCAAAGTAGGAAGGGGAAAAAACCTGCTAAGAAACCCTACAGTTGGACGTCGCAAAAAGATTTGACCTTGAGTAATTTGGAGGATTACTTGTTTTCTGAACCAAAGGATATAACTGATTTGGAGAAAACAGAGGAAACAGAGGCGCCGATGGAAGAGGATGAAAAGCTTTGCCTTGCAGCTGTCATCCTTACAAAAGCATTCTTGATGACGCCTCATTCATTAGAGAAAATCCCAAGTTCAAGACTTCACCATGCATCCGATTTGGAGGCGTATACATCTTTGGCATGGGGAAAGGAAGCCTACAACGTCTTGGCAACAAGTATCAAGAGGATGGATACCAATACGTGGGCGAGACGCCAATATGAAGTCAAAGGTTTTCCTTTGGCTTTATTGATCTGGTCATTCAGCGCTGTACCACTTTTTGGAGCGACGTTTGCTGTATGCAACGACACGTCAAAGTGTGTCTATCCTCTATACTCTTACTGGGAATCTTCGTTAACTCCAAGATTAGATCAAATCGTGGATGCCATTCAATCATCGGATTGTGTAAGTTTTCATTCCTTTTATAACACTTTTTATTTGGTGATGAGCATTAATTTTATAAGGTTTTATATGGTTTTTAAAAGTATTTTAAAACGAATTTTAATGGAGTTATTTAGGGTTTTATAAGGATTTTATATGCGTTTACAACCATTGTAAGGCTTTTATAAAGGTTTTATAAGGGTTTTATAAGGGTTTTATAAGGATTTTATAAGGGTTTTATAAGGGTTTTATAAGGATTTACAATCATTGTATATCCATTTTAAAAAGCTTTTAAAACCTTTGTTATTTATTTTTCTAGATTGAGGTCAAATCTATTATTGGAGATCCAGAGTAATACAAACACCTAATAGAAGAAACTCATGTAGACGACAAAGAGTTTGAAGATATTGTACACTTAGTGATGAGAGGCTACAGATTAAAGGAGATTGATTGGAGGAACAAAATTGTTGAATACATTTCTGCGGAGGCAGAGTTGGGGCAGCAATTGTCAGATTCTGCCAAACTGGACAAGATCCTTAAACTAGTTGCGGACTTCAACAGAAGATTAGAAATACTTGAAGTGGCTCTAAAAGTCAGAAACAACATGGGGACATATAACGAGGTAAAATATTTGTAAATTTTAATTAATAAAAAGTTTGGGTTGTTTCCTATGATAATTTCTTACTTTTGTTATCGCAGTCCGAGCTTGAAGGAGACAAAGATAAAAGTGAAGAGGTTAGTATATATTTTTTAAAGGTTTTATATGGTTTTTAAAAGGCTTATAAGGGTTTTATAATTTTTAATAGGGTTTTTGAAAATTTGGGATACTTTGCCTGCTTCTTTATTTTTGTGTAGCACGCTGGACAAAGTAATCCTCATGAAGATACTGGGAAAGAAGATAGGGTTATTGATGAAAATGTGAATAGCACTTTTGAAGATTCATTTCGTCAAGCAAACACCCAAGATGGAAGTTATGCCGGCGACGATGAAAATACTGAAAAGAGTGGCAATTCTGATAATGCAGAAGAAGAAACACCAAGGGTATGATGATATAGTTTTTTTATAAGTATACTAAATTCCTTTTAAAAGCCTTTTTGTAAAATTTTAGAGTGATTATGTTTGAAGGATAAATCCAATACTCCAAGTCAGTCTACACCAAAGTTCAATCTCTTTTCTCAAGAAAGTCAAGGTAGCGGAAAGGATAAGAAAAACAGTCTACAGAAAGCAGGAAGCAGTAAATAGAAAGTTGTTAGAGAGAAAAAGCAGGTTAGTGTTCTATTCTTTATAAGGATGTTATGAGATTATTGAATAGATTTGCCAAGTATTTAGAAGCTTATATAAGGCATTGTCATAATATATGTAATGTTTACAATCATTTAAAAATGTTTACAACATTTTAATAAAGTTTTTTAATGATTTCTAAAGAAGTTACACTAAGCATGATTATTTTTTTGATCTACAGAAAAAGTGTAAAGAAGGAGACAATGCTGAAGAAAATGTTTCTAAAAGAAAAGAGGTTAGTATCAGATTTTTAATTAATTTATAAGGTTTTTATATGGTTATTAAACTGTGAATATAAGGTTTTTATAAGGCCTAAAGGAGATTTTATAATGTTTACCAAGAGTTTATCAGGTTTTTATATGGTTTTTATCAAGAGTTTATCAGGTTTTATAAAAAATGTTCCAAATTTGGATTAAATGGTTTACAAATGTGTTCGTTTGGTTCATTGCAGCAAAAGAAGCATAAAACAAGTGACAATCAAGATGATGATGATACAACAAAAGCTATGGTTAGTTTGCAATTAAAAATATTACAATAGTTATTACAATTGAAAATCGATAAAATGCTGGATTTGTACTTTATTTTGTTCAGCCACGAAGAAAGAAAAATAAAGTTGATAATGTTGGTGAAGTAAAAAGGAAAAGTGAACAAAACCATGCTCCATCAATTCACACTCAGTGGCCTTACACGGCTGAGAAGAAAAGGCACCCAATTGTTCATCCCTTTGAAAAAGTTGATACAACACGGGTAGAACTATTGGCTAAATGGAAGAGTTCAAGGAAAACAAAGTAAGTTTCAGTTTTATTTGACAAAAAAAGAAATGGAATTCCGTTTAGTTGTTTATAAGAGTTTTAAAAGCTGTAAATATGTTGTGTTCGTTTTTAGGCCTCTAACAATTCTAGGTAACAAAGTTGATGCCAAGTGGTTCACAACACTTGAGACGCCAGGAAAATCAATAACAGCAGCTGTAAGTTTTCTAACAGTTTTAATTTGTTTTATAAGTTTTTTATAAGTCTTTTATAAGTTTTAGAATTGACTTTTCAGTTTACTTTTTTTTAGAACATTATAAAAACCGTTTAAAAGACTTATATGTAAATTTGTGAGAACCTAACTTTATAAAAACCGTATAAAAGCCTTACAAAAAACTAACAATAATTTTAGCGCTTTCTCTAATATTGTTGATCTGACTTTGATGTTGTTATTGTTGAGTTTAGCATATTGATGCAGCGGTCCAGCTATATAAGCAAAGAAAAGAAAGTCATCCTGATATTTATGTCAACAAAGATGTGACATTAGTGGATTCAAAATTCATTCATGCCATTGATGATTCCTACGCGATATTCCTAGACGACAAATATGGCTTTGACTTTGAAGATGAATGTTTCAGTAAGGTGTTTAAGGAGAAACGCACAAAAGTCATATTTGCACCAATGTGTGTCGAGCAACGGTTGTGGATACCAATGGAGATTAATTTGGCCTCACGATCAATCCATATCTGGGACAATGCATCATCATTTTTCAGTGATAAAAAGAAACAAAAACAGGTCGAAGCGTATGCTAGATCAATGCCATATATTGCACAGAAGAAGTTTCCAATGGTAGAGAGGACTGATGACTCTCCTTTTAATTCCTCTCCTTTCTGTGTCATTCACCTATCCTCCTGTACACATGTAATATTTGTAATTAGTAAAAGGCTTGCGAGGTTAGATAAGGTATTTAGAAGGTTTTAAAGAGTTTTTATAAGGTTTATCAAGAGTTTATTAGGTTTTAATAAGGTTTTATATGGTTTTATAAGGTTTTATATGGTTTTTAGAAGCTTTGATAAGATTTTTTTATATTTTTTGAGAATGTCTTGGTTTTGAGGTTATATTATATGTAAATACTGTTGACTTTTCAGTTTGTTTTTTGTTTTTAGGTTAAGAAGATTGAAGATAGTGGTGTGTACATGGTAAAGATAATGGAAAGCTATGCAATGTATAAAAGGAGTAATGACGAGTTCCTGGAACACAGCATTGCAGATATCCGAAAGAAACTTGCGGTTGACATATTTGCTGAATTAGGAAAGACATAGGTTAGTATGAGTATTTTTTTTTTTAATATTGTAGGATTTACAACAGTTTAAAATAGTATTCTAACGTTATTCACATTACCTTGCGTAGGACTATGGATGACTGCTAAGGAGTATGGAGAACTAGGACATATTTTATTTTACTTTTGGAAACTATGTCGATTTGAAAACACTTGTTGAAAATATTATCTTTTGAATACTTTTATCTTTGTTGAGAATATTATAACACTTCAATCATCTTTTAAAACCATTACAAAGAGTTCTCAATGGATTTCCAAGAAAAATACAATATAACACTTCAATCATACTCGTGCTATTTCAATACTAAAACTATGATTGCGAGTTACGCGGTTTATAACCTTGTTTTAAATACAAGGGTTCTTACAAAAGGTTTGTAAAACAATTTTGAATTCACTAATAAAGCTTTACAAGGGTTTTAAACGAATTTGAACTACAAAGGTTTTTATAAGGGTTTTAAACTGTTTATATAAGGCTTCTCACAGAAAAAGAAAAAAACCCTTTTAAAAGGTATTTTACAAGAAATAGGCCTAAAGCCCAATTTGGATTTTGAGGAAGCTATATATATTTTTTTTTACTTATTCTTCGTTATTTCTTTTTCAGTCTGCTTTTTTCTTCTTCTTTTCTCTTCGTTCTTCTTTTCTCTTCGTTCTTCTTTTCTCTTCGTTCTTCTTTGGATCCCAACCGTGCTTTGAATTCCTTCCTTGTTCTTCTCCGAAATTGGGGGTTTCATACAAAAAAATTCATTTCGCCTGGTTCTCTCTTGGACTTTCGAAGTTAGGGACTGTAAATCAGTTGGGGTTTCGTTGTCGTTAGTGTTGGTTCACTGGCCGTCGGTCAATAGAAGAATTGAGGATTTTTGAGGCGAAAGTGACTAGCATTGTACATGTTTGCTCCAATTTCCAATTTCCAATGTTAGGGTTTTACCTAATTTTTTTTAAAAAAATAGAATAAATTAGTAAAATCTGAGTTTATGCTTGAAATCGTTATGGGTTTGTTGATTAGGGCTACTCAAAATTGGAAATTGTTATGGTTTCGCTAGGGTTTGACAGTTTCAAGCATAAATTTGGGCAATGAAGGGTTTTTGTAAGGTTTTCATAAAATTTTGGAAAAGTATATATTTTGTATAATATTTTAAAAGGGTTTTAAACAGGATTGTGTGTGAAGGGTTGTAAAAAGATTATTAAAAGTTTTTGATGATGATGAATGTTATAAACTGCTTATAAGAGTTCTGATATTAATGACTTAACAATTATTTTTCAGATGGATAACAATGACTCAGTGCACATCATAGATCTACCTAAAGGGATCTATGATGATGGTTCTGAACCAAACATTTCAGCATCTATTATCCAACATTCAGATTTGAGGTTAGTTCCAAAAGTTAAAGCTGTTTTGAGCGATGAATCGTTCAAAAAGCTTCAAAATTCTTTCCTTGGACATATCATCAAGATTGAAGCAAAAAGCCTCAAATTCTCGGGCAAACTATTTCACTACATTATGATGAGGAGGCTGAAGACAAAAGGAAACAACTTGTGGTTCAGAATCGCTTCACAGCCAACACGTTTCTCCATGAGAGAATTTTTTCTGTCAACAGGTATTTCATATATATTTGGTTACGATTTGTAGTAGTTGGTTTTAGAAGTGTTTTAAATGATTTTTACATGGTTTTATACAATTTGAAAACAGTTAGGTAACGATTTAAAAAGGTTTTAAAAGCTTTTAAATTGGGTTTAGAAGCTTTTTAAAATGTTTATAAAAGCCTTTTAAAAAGAATTTTTTAGGGTTTATAAGGTTTTATAAGCTGTTTATAAGGTTTTTACAAGGATTTCATTTGGTTTTAAAGTATTGAAAGGTATGTACAAATTCTTTGAGTATATTGAAAACACTAACCTCGTTGTTTGATATAACACAGGTATTCAATGTGAACAGCTTGATATAGATCAAAGGAGCAAAGGGGACCCGTACAGCTGGACAAAGCGAAAAGATTTGACTCTGAAAAAATTGCAGGCTTATCTGTTTGGTAACCCAGACGCACCGCCGGGAGAAGATGAGAAGCATTGTCTTGCAGGCTTATCTGTTTGGTATCCCCTCGTCAAGACTTGAGATTGCATCCGATTTTGAGGCGTATACTTCTTTGGCTTGGGGAAAGGAAGCCTACAACGTCTTAGCAACAAGTATAAGAAGGATGGATGCTAATACGTGGGCGAGAGGCCAATATAAAGTCAAAGGTTTTCCTTTGGCTTTGTTAATATGGGCATTAAGTGATGTACCTCTGTTTGGAAGCAAATTTGCTCTATGCAACGACACGTCAAAGTGTGTCTATCCTCTATACTCTAACTGGAAATCATTAGAAGCTCCAAAATTCAACGAAATCGTGGATGTCATGGGGAAAACGAAATTTGTAAGTTTTCTTTTCGTGGATTTTATATGGTTTTTATATGGTTTTATAAGGTTTTTATATGGTTTTTATATGGTTTTTATATGGTTTTATATGGTTTTTATATAGTTTTTATATGGTTTTTATATGGCATCACAAAATGTTGTTTCCTGCAGATTGAAATGAAAACGATTGTTGGCGACCCGAATGAACATAGCCATTTGGTTATGCCACAGATTGATGAAGACTTCAATGAAGTTGTTAATGTTGTTATCAAAGGATATAGGATGACAATGGAGGAATGGATTCGAGGATCGATCAGTGTTGCTAAAGGAGGACAAGGTCAAAAGAGGCGTGTAAGAGACCCTCATGTTCAAGAACCACCGAAGAAAAACCGAAGAAAATCTGTAAGTGAAAACATTGAGATGCTTCTTGGATTATGTCAAGATATTAACAACAGAATTACAAGATTGGAAAATCATGTTGGAATTGCCAAAGTCAATCAAACACCAAAATGGGGGTTTGAAAACAAAGACCAACCAGCCTCTTCTAGGGCATATGTAAGTTTGAAAATGGTTTTTAGGAATGGTTTATAATATTTTCTCTTCTTCTTTTTACATAATTTTTTTTTATAAAATAAATGCTTATAGGTACCTGAAGAAGTGAATGATTATCACCAACATGAAGGAAGTGACATCCCTGAGGAGCATTGGCAGGAAAATAATGATAAGGTAAGTATTATTTGTATAAAAACCATATAAAACACTTATATATAACTTTTTTTACAAGAGGTTTATAAGGTTTTTATATTGTTTTTTAAAGGGTTTTAAAAAGAATGTTTACGAAATTATTTCATTAGCGTTTTATAAGGGTTTTATAAGGGTTTTATAAGAATGTTTACAAAAATATTTAATTAGCGTTTATAAGGGTTTTATAAGGTTTTTAAAAGGTTTTTTATGAGGGGATATGAGAGTTTATTAGCATTTAAAAGGGTTTATAAGGCTTTTACAAGGGTTTTATAAGGGTTTTACAACCATTGTTAATCCATTATAATGTTATAGGTTCCTGAAGAAATGAATGATGATCAACCTGATTTGAGAAAGGAAGGAAATGACTTCCCTGAGGAGCATACACAGGATAAAAATGATAAGGTAAGTTTATTATAAGGGTTTTATAAGAATGTTTACAAAAATATTTCATTAGCGTTTATAAGGGTTTTATAAGGTTTTTATAAGGTTTTTTATAAGGGGATATGAGAGTTTATAAGCATTGAAAGGGTTTTATAACATTGTAAATCCATTATAATGTTATAGGTTCCTGAAGAAATGAATGATGATCAACCTGATTTGAGAAAGGAAGGAAATGACTTCCCTGAGGAGCATACACATGATAAAAATGATAAGGTAAGTATTTCTTGAATATAAAAAGCTTTTTATAAAAACCATATAAAACACTTGTAAAAAACGTTTTTATAATGTTATAGGTTAATCCTGAAGAAGTTGAAGAAGTGAATGATGATAATCAACATGAGGAGCAACATGATTTGAGAAAGGATAGAACCGACTTCCCTGATGATTATTCTACCCAAGAAGCATACATAATTTTATCTGATGATGAAGAGTTTATTCATCATTCAGATAATGAAAATGTTAATCAAGAAGAAGAAGCTCCTACACAAAAAGAGGCCAGCCAACAAGAAGAATCTTCTACACAACAAGAGCAAGAAGAAGAAGCTCCTACACAACAAGGGGCCAGCCAACAAGAAGAAGCTTCTACACAACAAGAAAAGGCCAGCCAAGAAGAAGAAGCTCCTACACAACAAGGGGCCAGCCAACAAGAAGAAGCTTCTACACAACAAGAAAAGCCCAGCCAACAAGAAGAACCTTCTACACAACAAGAAGAGGCCAGCCAGGAACAGACCAGTTGTAAGTTCTTGAAATATTTAAAAAGTTTAAATGTGCGTTATAGTTGATCTAAAATACTATATATTTATATTTGTATTAGTGCAAACACCTTCTACACCGCTGAGTTCACTATCTGATGAAGAAATACAAGGAATCGAGGCAAGAGTCAAAATGGGGCAATGAAGGGTATTCTAGATATGCTTGCAACATTGCATACAGTAAGTATGTTAAAATCATATATTTGTTATCATAGTTGCTAAATACTAATGTGATTTGGATGTTCTACATTTTAGATGCTTTGGCCAGGGGCTAAATGGAAAATAGTCACTGAATCTGAGTTAATAATAGAACATCATGTCAAAAAAGCGATAAGAAATGAAATGTTAATTCTTCATCCTGACAAAGGGCCAACTGATGCCACTGCACAAGTGAAATACCTTGCTACTAGAATGTTTTCAACATTAAAGGTCAGTAATGTAACTTTTTGATACTTTTGTTTACAATCTTACCGTGATCTAACATGAACTCTTTTTATTGCAGATGGAGAGGGACAGATACTTATGATTGAGTTTTCTTTGGGGTGGATCAGTTAGGAAACCTGCTATTTTGGTGATTTGCAACTTGTTAAATGTTATTGAAGATCTTTAGAATGTTAAGTAACTTTAACACCTATTGTGTTAGTACATTGGTAGGTTGCTATTTCTTTGTATTCTGCTGCATTTATCTAGTAGATTTTGAAGTTTGTGGTTAATGATATCTATGTTGCAAAGCTGCTGAGGGAATGGAAATTGTTAAACCCCTTGTAAAAACCTTTTAAAAACCTTATAAAACCCTTATAAAAACCTTATAAAAACCATATTGAAAATGAAAATCATAAGACTTTATACAAAATGGTACTCATAAAAGCAGTATAAAAACTTTATAAAAACCTTATAAAAAATGATAATCATAAAATATGATAATAACCTTTGTAAAACATTGGCTAAAGAATAACAAATTCAAGATGAATTAAATAAGGAGTTAGATAGCAGCTACACAACTGGATTTGTTGTGTCCAGACTGGCCACACCTGCTGCATTTGTATGCCTTTTTTTTGTCGTAGACCTTCCATGCTCCCATGAACAACGTATTCTCTTTTTCTTCCGCCTGCCACTAGGTATACGAGTTGAAGGTGGCCGACTGACGAAATTAGAAATAGTCTCTGGAATCTCCCAGTACGTCATATCACCTACTGGGTAAATGCTTTCCGAATATGATAAACGCCACCTGTAATCATATAACTTTCTTATTAAACACTTATAAAAACCGTATAAAAACCTTATAAAAACCGTATAAAAATCGTATAAAACCTTATAGAAATCATATAAAAACCTTATAAAACATTAAAAAATCTTGATAAAACCTTATAAAAACCTTATAAAAACTGTTATTACCTATCAGTGGAATAAAAATCATCAACAAACATGTTTTCGTTGAGATTAACATGTTTTGCAGCAGCGATTGCGTGTGCGCAGGGGAACCTGTCGATATCAAACACACGACATGTGCAACTTCTAGCATCCAAATTCACCTTATGCAATTGTTCACCTCCTTTAACCTCAAATACATTTTGATTTACTGGACAGACTTCAAGCCAGCGGGAAGATTCATTATACGAAGAATTCATAATCTGTGACACGTTTGAAGTAACTGCATACGGATGTCGACAGCTCTCTTCTCGTCGTTCATGGAACCATCTTGTCATAATAGAGCGGATTGTATCAAACAAGCATACAATTGGGTACTCACGTGTCTCTTTCAACAAAGAATTCACAGACTCAGCCAAGTCTGATGTCATGATATTGTACCTATTTGAAGGCGACATTGCACGAGCCCATTTCCGAACATCTACTTGCCAAAGGTATGCTCCCAATTTTTCATCGGCTATGGATATTTGAGCAAAGAGGTACTCAAACAGTTGTGTTGTGTAGGCCCGTGAAGCGTCGTAAAATACAAGAATAAGTGTAGAACCTTTGAAGTTTGTTTCAAGGTTTTTCTGCAAGTGAAAAGTGCAGAGTGCATGATGAGCTTGGGGGTAATTTGCTGCAAGAGCAGATTCAATTGAAGCTGCGCGATCTGATACAAAAACCAGATCATTTTCGTCTGGAATAAAGGTCTTCAAACAACGCAAAAACCAGTTCCAAGATGCGTCATTCTCAGAATCTACAACAGAAAAAGCAATAGGATATAGATTAAAATTCCCATCTTGAGCAGAAGCAGCAAGCAAAGTCCCTTTAAACTTTGATTTCAAATGGGCGCCATCAATAGAAATGACTTTCGTCATCAACTTAAAACCTCGAATAGATGCACCAAAGGCAAGAAAAGCATACTTGAACTTATTAGCAGAATCTACTTCGATAAAAGTGACAGTGCCTGGATTCTTCATTGCTACCATGTAGAACCACTTCGGAAGAACCTCAAAAGAATCAGAAGGTAAACCCCTAGCAACTTCTGTTGCATGTTCTTGAGCTCTCCATGCTTTTGAGTACGACACCCCAACTCCATG